ACGTGTACTTGGAATACTATTCTTCGACAAAATACCAGTCACAATTGTCAATTGCTATCGATGGTTCAAAAATTATGTCAACTATGAGGATCATACTCTGACAGAAAAGCAATTATTCAGCATAAACATCAGCAAAACAGAAGTAATTTAACTTTTTGAAAAATATCCCATATAAATCATAATAGAGAGAGAGAAAGCATATCGTAAAACATAAAAACAAGAAACGATTTATAATTGTTTATTACGATCTCTAAGATACAAAAACATGTTCATTCCTTTCAATATCAATCCAACTACTATTCGATATCGTTTAATAACATATACTGATAAAAAATTTTATAAAATTCGTCGATTTTACACTCATCGCAAACCTATTTTCCCTCCATAATTCTGAAATATTTCCCTACTTTATCGTATAATTCACACAAAACATACACACCCTTTGACCAAAATGACCCAAGATTCCCAAGCAAGATTCATTTTTCAGAACATACTACTACATTTAATCCTCAATAGATTCCTAAACAAATCGTACTCTTATTTGTAACGCAGCAGAACCCGCCTATTATAAAATATTTTCCACTAAAGCAAACAATTGAAAATACGATTTCAACAACCCATATACCCAACCAACATTTCCTCAAAATTAAGACGACACTTCTATATATAAAACAAATTATAGACTAAATCCACCAATCCTCATATTCTCATATTTCAGGAAAACTAATATTATTCCCCATCCAAACCACTAAAAATTCAGTTCAGCCTCCTACTTCCATTCTAATATAAAACAATATTCGATCTCTCATCCCTTCATGTAAGACTTTCATGCTTTCGCAACTTTTCCACAAGTACTATAACCATGCGACCAACCAGCAAATCATTAGAAATTTTAACCTCACCACGAACCAAAAAATATCACTATATTTAAGTCACCAGCAATCATCAAAACTTATATTTCCACTACTCCGTCTATACCCTAATCCCCTACCTAATCCATTCTCATTCCCAACTTACACCACAAATGATCCAAAAACAACACATGGCCCAATCCCACCCGACACAAAACCACAAACAAACCCTATTGAAGAGATCCAAAACTAATTGTGTCTCTAATCTTCTTTTAGACCAACACAAGCATGATCTACTAAACCAACAAACAACTAATCCAACACCAGATGCATATTTCTTTCATTCATATACCACACAAACACGAGAGCTGAAAACAGAACCCATTAGTCAAATATATCACAAAAAATTCGACCTATGACATGATATGTCAATTCGACCCTTCCCTCAACATTATCCAATTTCAAAACATTTGAATTTTGACAAAAGATATCAAAGATTTTAGGATTGATCAATCTTTAGTTGAGTTCTAATATTATCTAAACCTGATTGAATTT